CTATGTCTGAGTAATCTGCCAGTTAGGTTTTGGGTTATTCAAAGGTTGATAATGAATTTTTAGAACTACAAAACTGGAAGGATAAATCATTTGGTTCTTCATCTAGATTGCTTTAATACTGGTTTTAAGATTGATCACCTAGAAATCAGATCTTAGGTTGTTTAATGGATGTGGAAACATTGTTAACCACCAGAACTATCTTAGATGAGCAAAATAACTAGTTGCAAGGGAATTTGGATTAGTGATTTTGTGAACATATCGAACCTGATCTATAATGCATGTTTAGGTTGTTAAATTTGCAAAGGAATTTGGAATTCTGGAATCTGATCATAGTTAACCTCTGCGACGAAAGTCGATTTGTTTTACACTAGTGTTTCGAGTTCTAGAACGGTTTTAATAAATATTCCTTTCAGTCTGTAATCTGCGATTTATGTCAACCTGCGAATTTCCCATTACCTAGCGTCTTGTCTTCTGATTTTAAGAACCTACAATCCGCCCCTGACATCATTGCGTTTGTTGTTATTTTATTTTCATTTCATTATTTACTGCTTAGCTTCATTTGAATCTAAAATCTGTTGAGTGGTAGCCTTAAGTCCTTGTGGATTCGATCCCTAAGTACTACAGTGATCTCTTAATTTGAGAGAGTAGCTCTAAGGGTTAATTTGAGCATATCACTTATCAACAATATCAGTACAACTAAAGCACCTGATTATTGTGTTTGTATAGTGTTTTTATTTTATTAGTAGTCATAAACAAAACAATAATCAATATTCCAAACTCTTACAAATCTGTAGAAGAACTATTGTTCATATAAATAAAAACAACATTTACATAGTATACAAAATCACTATTATATTGATAAACTGTAATTTTGATTTGGTCTTTGAAGCATCTGTAAACTATAAAAGTGCAGATGAATAAGCAAGTAAAACATATACAAATACAATTTCATACTAACTCACTCTTTTAAAAAAAGTATGTTGGGTTCGTAAAAACTCAAAATGTTTAAAAGGTTCATTTGCATTTGGCTTATAATCTAAATTAGATATTTTTCTTACACTACACATATATTTTGATGAGCCTTTATAAGTTAATTAATAATATATAATATATAAATAAAAATAATATTTATATAGTATACAAAATCAATATCATATTAATAAACTGCAGTTTTAATTTGGTCTCTGAAGCATCTGTAAACCATAGAAGTGTAGATGAATAAGCAAGTAAAACATATAGAAATACAATTTCATACTAACTCATTCTTTTAAACAAAGTATAATAAGTTTTTAAAAACTCAAAAGGTTTAAAAGGTTTATTTGCATTTGGATTATAATTTAACTTAGATATTTTTCTTACACTACACATATATTTTGATGAATATTTATAATTTAACTAATAATATATATTATATTATTTTAAAAGAGTTTCTTAACCCCAAAAAAAAATTATATTAGTTATTCTTACATGTTAAGTTTTGTAAGGAATTTATTTTTGTTGATGTGGATGGTCATGGATGTTTTTCTGACATTTTGTTTTACATAAAAATTTGTTATGTTATATTTTAAACATAGAAATATAATATATTAATGTTTAAAATAGAGCTATGCTAATCTATTTTCTGTAAATGTATTTTATAAATTTTTGTAATAAGTAATCATATAATATATAAAATTTGATGGTATAGTGCATTGAAGAAGTCTACATGAGATTAAAAAACTTGATATGATTGGTCCACATCAGCATATTCATTAAATAGAAAAATGTTAAGTATGATTAGGACGGAAAAACTCGATTTAATTAGTCCACATCAGCTTTTGAATCAAACCAAAAATTATTAAGTAGAATTAAAACATTAAAAGTTAATTTAAAATTATGTCCAACAAAAAAAAGTAAATTCAATCTGATTGATCCAAATCAACATATTTATTAAATCATAAAATGTTAATATGGTTTAAGAATTTAAAAGTTAAATAAAAAAATTAACAATTAACAATACATGTATAAAATAAAGTAACCATTATCAATTATCAATTTAAAAAAATCTACAACAACTCAATTTAATAATTAAAATAATGAAAACTGAATAAAATTATAACATAAAACTCTTGGAAGACATGATGGAGAAGAAAAAAATGGTTTTGCATGATTATTATAACTTCCTAACAAAATTAAATACGAATCAACATGAATCATGTATTATAGATACAATGGTACACAACATCAATAAGACTTTCAATAAAAAAACTAAATATTTGAACACATAAATCTTTAAGAAAAAAAGAACTATAGAAATTTTATAGAAAACAGAAAATAATACCAAAATCTTAGCAAGATTATATTTATCTGAATCATATGTATATGTACGTCAAAGTTGGACAATTTGATATGCGTCATTGTTATTATTTTACCTAATAGTTTTTTAAAATTTATAAATAAAAATATGATAAATTACACAGCATATATTAAATTCTCTTATATAAATGAAAATTTCTGTATATATATATATATATATAATTTTTAATAATTTTAAAAATAGTAGCTAAAACAAATAAACCAAAATATTAATACAGACTCGCACGTAGCGTGAGTTATATACCTAGTGTATTCATAAAGTCGTATAAGCTTATCTTTGTAGAGACAATAGACAATATGTGAAATACAGTTGTGTTAATTATAAAATTTTATTTATTTATTTGTTATGTATATAATCTTTATGTTTCTAATAGATGAACGTTTTAGATTTTTCTAAATTGTGAATGTTTTAATTTATTTTTAGAAATTACTATTTTGTAACCTTCTATCTATTAACTATTATTTAAGTTTTTTTGAAGCATTTCTTTTCCAAAATACTCATTATATTAGAAAGAAAAAGAGTATATATTAATGCTATAGATTTAAATAATATTTATTTTACTGATTCAAAATTGATATTTTAATTTTATTTAGTTTTTGTTAATAAACTATATTAACATATGTAGGGATCTGATCGTCTTGTTGCTTCTGTTTGTATTTATATGATATCCAATTGTTAAATTTCTGTGTGTTTTTTTTTCTTTTTCACATATGTATTTTTTTTGTCTTTCAAAAGGCTGGAAATGTTCAAATGTTCAATCAAAAAGACAAAAACTAATTAAAATGTTACATACAAATGTTCAATCAAAAACCAAAAAAAGATATTAGACTTTCAAATATATAGTTATTTTATCGTAAAGCTGGAAACAATTAATCCATATATAATTCCCTTTGTTGTATGACCACACAAAATTGTCAAACATGCGAAACTAAACTTACGCACGGCAACATTTAACATACAGTAGCTACCACAGCAGAATCCTCTTAGAAGTATATTGTTTAAAAGAGTTTACTAAAGCAAGTTACAGTATGCTCGAATTGCTATTAAACTACTGTTAAACTATCTACCATTAACGAGAGAGCTCGAAGAAATATCCATGGAAAACGAAAAAGTATTCGAGCTCAAGGCTCTATCCGATGAAATGCAACCCACAACATTCGATCTAAGATCATCTCCTCTCGAAGAATCTGAGAATCCCAAGTTCCCATCAATCTGTGGAACATCCTTGTCGCCGTTCAGATACTTAATCACGTTTTTCATCGTTGGCCGAGACGTTCGTTTCATGATTGACGGCTCTGCTTGCATTACGCTGAAGATCTCATATAAGCTTGTCTGCATTAATCTGCATAATTGATAATAAATTGTACTTTTTGAGATTTAAAACCTAAACCTTTTGGTAGAGAAGCATTAATGAACCTATAGCCAAACTATTGAGTCAAACGAATTTTTAAATATTAAAAAGTTTTGATTTCAAGTAACATGTTTATATTGTTAGTGGCTATTAATATGTCATCGACATACAAAACTAGGAAAAATACTTTTACTCACACTGAACTTCTGATATACATAATCTTTGACTAAATTCACTTTAAAACCAAATAAAATTATTATCTCATGAAATTTGTGATACCATTGACAAAAAGCTTAGTTTAGCTCATAGATGAATTTATTTAACTTGCATACCATTTTCTTTGAATCACTTAATACAAAATTTTCTGATTGTTTCATATAAATTGTTTTATCAATGTTTACATTAAGAAACACTATCTTGACATCCATCTGATGAATCCCTAAGTCATATTATGCTGCAAACTATAAAACCACAATATTTTTACCTTTTTATTTATTAAATTTTAAAATTTTCTTATTATTAATTATGAAGTAAAATTAGTGAAAGGCTTATGTGTCACTTTCATATTTAATTTTAATGTATGTCAAAGATAATATGAAAATATGACAATATTTTTACTGAAAATGAGAAAATATTTTGATTAGTTGAATAAGAATTATCGTAACAAATATAAACTTAATGAAATGTTTCAAAATAACCCATAAGAAGGCCCTAACTTGAGGAAACTTTTGTTCAATCATAACCGAAAAGTAACAAATTTGAATCAAAGAAAGGTGAAAATACTATAATTTCACAACAAGTACAACAAATATATATTAAATGTCATAGAGAATAGGAGGAAAATTAGTATTAGATTACCTAATAAACTACATTTATTTACAGACGTAAAATATAACATTATCTTTGATAAATATAGAGATCTCTCATATTAATAGAACTGGCAATGAGACTGCACATGGATTAGCCAAACGTAGTCTTAAAAATTGTATATTTGACTCTGGTTGTCAATTTCCTCCTACTTGGATAACACACGTACACTTTGTATCATGATTTTATTAACTTCAGATAAATAAATATGTGTTCAACAAAACAAAAAAATTAGGTTTTTATACGAATGGTTATACTATGTGAGTTTGAGATCATTTTAAAAAAAATTCAAAATTATTGTACGAATTATGATGACATTGTCACCAACCTTATGTTATTCTTTCGGTTCACAATGAATTATGTTTATTCCTCACCTGGTGGACATTATCGTATGTAATAGAAATAAATGATTATTCATTATTCTGTGTAATTATAACATACATACGGTCGAAGACTTTGCATTGACGATGATAACATATGAAAGTTCTGTTTAAGTATATGTTTAAAATTTGAACGATATATAGATCCCAATTATTTCCACACAAGAATTGCTGAGAATAACCATCTATTCTTCCAATGCCCACAGTCGCTGCAATGCTGGACGCTATCTCCAATTCAGACTATTCCGAGCGTTTTCCCGAGCGATGCTCTGTTTTCTAATATCGATTATCTGCTGACAAGGGCAAGAAATAATGGGACAAGGGAAAATCAAAAACACGTGTTTCCATGGTTCATGTGGTACTTGTGGAAAGCACGGAACGAAAAAGTCTTTAATGATAAAGACATTACTCCCTCGGATACGATAGAGACGGCTACGCAGGAACAAAAAAACTGGATCCTAGCTAACTTGGAGACCACAAATAGCTCGAATAGCAAGGATCCTAGCTAACTCGTAATTGTAATGTCCGGACGGATGCTCTGGCGAAAGGAGCCCGATCCCGAGATACATGTTTCTCACATGTTAACATTGTAGTACCAGATTGGTTAGTCCCTACTACTAACCTGAGCCTTCCAGTTTAATAAAGTGGATCCTTTGTTGTCAAAAAAAAAAAAATTGCTGAGAATATAAAACAAAATAATCGAATATGTACTTAAAGATAGTCATATTCTGTTTATTATACCATCACGTACGACAATGCCCACCAGGTCCTCCAAACGTAAGAGTTTCTCTGGAATCAAAATCTACATACTTAAGAAACATTACGCCATAACACTTAGGATTGTCAACATAATGTTCAATCTCGTTGGAATTAATATCTTCTAGTGTATAATCGGAAAGAACATATTTAAGTTGTTTCATGAAACAAGACCGAGTCAAATCTTTTGTGGGAAAATCTCCGGTTCCCATTGGTGGGCTTAGGGTGTCAGGCAATGTAGTTCCAGCAAATCCACCGAAGTAAACTTCAGAAGCTCCTTCTTCCATGTAAGTTTGAAGTGGCCAATAGCCTATCATTATGGTTCCTATCGTCAAGACCCAATTTTTGGTCACTGGATCCTGCATTTACATACACATGCATGTAGCTTTACATCTTTAGTTACTCATATCTAATTTTGAAATATTATTTGCACTCACATAATTAATTAAAAAAAATCTAGAAAATGATATTTACTCCAACTTCCGTTCTACTCTTTTACGAGTTCATCAATTTCATTAAATTCACAATAAAATTACCTTTTTAAGTATATAGAACAAAAAAACAATGTTTAAATATGTTTTTTTTTCAACTGAACTTTCTTAATAAACAAAGTTTTGTATGTGTTTTGCGCATGTCTTTATGAAATACAAGATAATGTTCGATGTAAAAGAAAATATCAACAAAAATATTCAAAATTTGCCTTGCAAAATAGTGGGGCAGCAAATATTTAGATAAAGACCCATACTTATTCAAACGAATATATGAATGTTATGTTGATATTATTAAATGCAAACGAAGCCAAAAGTAGCATGTCAACATAGAACTCATAGGTAAATGCAAACGAAGCAAAATATTAAACCTATAATTAATTTTGAAAAGTATGGCTTTATATACCTCGGCAACAGAAAGATGAACAGTGTGTTGTTGTCCTCCTGGAACACTGAATTTATCATAAACCATACCAGGGTAGATTGATTTATGAACTTGGACGTAACCTTCTGGGCATAACGCATTGTAACATCCATCGTGTTCTTTTCCTGACTGTAATATATAATCAGTGCATATAAATTTCTACACCAAATGAGCTAAAGCAATTTAAATTTTCATGAAACATCGGGAATAAATATCCTAAATTATTACTCACCACCCAATATGTCGTAAGTCTTGGACGGTCATCTTGATATAGTTTTGTATGCACCTATGAATTGAGCGGAAGTTATAGGTTAAACATGTTTTTTTTCTTCTTCTAGTTTTAATATAAATTAACAAATCCAATCACAAATTACATTATTAAAATTAAATTATTTTTTTAATTTGATTAAATTAATCTTACATTTTAGACATCCAAAAATTAGAAACCGAACCACAATCTAGAAAATGTAACACGATTTAAGTAATGAAATGAGTCTTAACATGGTTAATATGACTTTAGGCTTTAGATGTATTAAAAGAGCTACTATCGAGTTTCAGGTTTCAGCTGAAATATATAATTTTGTTTTTATCCGTTATACAGAAAAGATATTGTAGTTTTTAAAAAAAAAAAATATATATATATGTATTAATAAATGAATAAAACGAAAACTGATTTGTATTAGAATTTATTTTACATAGGTTACTTATTATTCTTCTAAAATAAATAAAAATTAGAGAAATCAAATAATTTAATCCAAAAGCTGGAATAGGGAAAAAAAACTGAACATTTAGAGTATACTCCAAATGGTACCTCACAAATATAAAATTCATAGTTTTAATATAATTTAATTTTAAACTAAAAAATAAATTGAACCAATCATAAAGTGATTCACTATTATAATTTGTCAATTTTGTTATTATTTTAATACTAAAATATCGATAGGACTTGTCTTTAGAGTAAATGTGATATTCAAATATTTGATAAATTTTCACCCAAAATAAACAAAAAAACAACTAAAACTAAACCATTTGAGTTTGTAGTAATACTTACAGCCACACCAAACTGAATGCTGCTTCTTACGTTCATTCGTATGTAATTAAGCCAAATCCAAGCCTTACTATATTGATCTCGCGCCACTTGCGGCTTGTTTATATTGAACAATGCTTGTGCTCCACGCCATTTTTTTGTCGTATTTTCAAAAGTCCTGATAATTGCATACTATAAATAAAACACACAATATACTCATTTGTTAGTGTTACTATTATTATAAGAAATTCATCCAATAGTGCTTTTGTACTTACATAATCATTGTACTCCCTAAATATTTTTGGCGTGTAGTGACGCTTTTTGTTTTTTTGGGACATAGTGGTGGAATAGGTATGTTTATTTTTATATTTTTTTGTGCGTAGCTTGTTTGTTCCCCTCTTTTTAACCCCACGAGCTTCTTTGAGGAGCCGGCCTTTGACAGAGAAAAAGTTGTGGCAAAATAGTTAACAAAAATAAAAAGAGTAATATTTTCTATTGACCACATAATCAAGAACCAATAAATAAAATAGAAAATAGAACGGTGTATTTTAAACGTAACTATATATATTTATGTTGTCATTTATTAGACAATATATTTAGTTTGTTTGCATTTAAACAAAATAAGACATTTGCATTCAAAATTGTAAACGTAAGAACTTAAAAACTACCTCTTTGGCTAAGAAAAGCTCAAAAGAAAAAAACATAAAATAATTCAAATTTGAGATTCAATATATTGCCACCAAAGTTGTTTAAATATTATGAAGTTAAAGGCAATAATATTATATAGCTATTACCTGCTTTAATAAATTGTTTTGGATGGATTTGATTATTATTGGTTTTTGGTTTGTGAATCGGTACTTGTCCTTTAGGGCATTCTTCTGATCCCTTCAAAACAATCCTTCTCGCTGTGTCATCCCTAGAAGTAGAGAGCATTGATAAAAGCTCTCGACTTAATCTAGTCTATTAAAAAAATCAAACGACAACGATTAGGTTTTTTTTTGTGTGCAACCGATTAGGTTTATTCCAACAAATTTGGTTATGAAGCTTGAATTATTATGTTTAATGGCAAACAATTGATACCTGTATTCGGTGATTCTTCATTAGAGGGTGTTGTAGTGCTGATTGTTCGTACATTGAGACGCATTCGAATTCGGTTTCCTGATTCTGCAATTTATTTTAAAACTTTTTAATATGAGAAAATTGATAAGTTTGGTATACCAAATACTTGTTGTATAAGAAACGTACCAGAGTTGGTCTAGCAATACAATTGTGGCATATTAGACCTAGAGAGAATAACTTCAACCAAAAAGAAGCCATTGTTTTCATTGTTTTGTTTCCTATTTGTTGTTTTGGAAAGAGTAATTTTTTTTTGTTTTGGAAAGAGCGATTAATTTTCTTCTGAAACAAATTTCCATTTTAATTTGCATAGGTTACAAAAATAGGAAATTCCATTTTAAGCCTACTGAATATATCTGAAACAAATTTGAACCGTAGATTCCCTAAAGACAAAAAAATGGAGAAAATGAAAAGACCAAAAGTCCAAAACTAGTTTTAAGATATCTTCTCTTTTATTATATAAAACTAGGGTATCATTCGCGTTTCATGCGAAATTTTATATCTCATTTAATAATATAAGTATATAAAATTAAATAACATAAAATAATATTTTATTTAGTTATTCACATTTTTATGCATGTTAATAAAATATAATTAATCGGATGTTCATTTATACAACATCGTAAATAACCGTTTAATATTCATAAATTTTTAACTTAATATTAACCTATCTTCTTCATACTTTTTTTTCTCGTCATTCTTAATATATGTTCTTTAATTTAAGTGTTGTAATTTTTTATAAAACTTTGTCCGTTTTTATTTGAAAAATATGTTTAGCAAATTTTACCTCTTATAAATTTTGGAATCCTGTTCACTTGATCACTTATTTCTAAACATGAAAATGCATATTTCTGTTTTTGTCCTATAACAATTATAGATGTATAGCATATTTATAGTGAATATATTCTTCTAATTCAAAAATTTTAATGGTTTCCAAAATTTTAAAATTAAGTAATATAACTTAAAATCTATAAATATGAAATAACTACAATTGTTAAATTAATTTTTTTTATCAATACATAAATCATTTATTATGATTAAATAACTTTTCATATTCTATTTCCCTTGAATTTATTACATTAATAAAGATTAGTTATTATAAGCATTAAAAGATTAAAAAATATAAAACATAATAAATAAAATAAAAAACTTAAAATTTATAAAATTAGTTTAATGATGTATCAATACAACAATAACACATCAATTTTTTTAAGCTTTCTAAAGTTGACACCTCAGCAAAAAAACATCAATCAAAATATTTTATTAATACACATCATTTACTAACTTTTATTATTTTTTAACTTAAACCCATTAAAAATCCAAATATTTTTCTTTGTTAATCTTTGTTTTATTTTTTACCAAACTCAAGCCCAAATAATAAATAACAACAAATAAAAAAATTGTTTTATTTTTTACCATCCCCAAATCCATATAATAAATAACAACAAATAAAAACAAGAATCTTTGTTTTATATTTTTGCCAAACAGAAAATCAAATAATAAATAACAGCAAAAAAAATTAAAATTTTTAACCATGTGTTTGCTTGATAGAGACGTATATGATTGAAGAAAGTGTAGACTCATCATCAACTATGCTTCCATAACAACAATGCAAAAAGCGTTATGTTATAAGAAGCTCACACATCAGCAAAAATTTGAACCAATAAAAACATAACAATAATACATATCATTAACACACTTAGTCCTGGACGTTCGGGTCTTCGGGTCGGGCCGGGTCGGAACTTTCGGGTTTCAGGTACTTAGGGTAGGGGTGTCTAGGACCCATTTAGGATCCGGTCAAAAATCGGTTCGGTTTGGTTCGGGTCTGCTTTGGGTCGGGTCGGGATTTAGAAATTGAGAAAAACTCGAAATAAACCCAAAAATTATAGGTTCAAACCCAAAAAAACCCGAATAAACCCAAATGAACCGATTAACCTGAAAAAATAAGAAATAATTCAGGCCCATTTCTAAATCGAAACCCAAATATTAAGATAGGCCCATTTAAATACTAGTTTTATTTATTATATCAAATATAGATTTTTTGAAAAAAGAAAAAAAAATCAAATGGATCTGAAAATTTAGATCTGAAAAAATGAATTTGATTCTCCTTCTTCACTATTTGAGCGATTTTTGTCTTTTCTTTTGTGGTAATTAATGTGTGAACAATGAAAGGAATTGTGACTTGTGAGGGTGATTAAAGGTTTTGGTTCTGGTAGAAGAAAATGAGTGAGAGAAATATTGATGATTGAGGAAGATAAGAAAGAGCAGAATCAGCAATTCTCTCTTGTAGAGTTTTCTTTTGAACGAAGAAGGAGAAGAATCAAGAAGGAAACAAAGGAAGTGGAGAAGATGAAGAATCAAGAAGGAAAAGAAAGAGGAAGAGAAGATGAAGAATCAAGAAGGAGAAAGCCAGAAAGGTGGAGGCGCCGTTAAAGGAGGAGAATATTTAGGTTTTTTTAATTAAGTTGATTTTTAGTTTAGGTTAAAAAAATCAGTTTTTGTGGTTTGGTTCGGGTTATTCGGATATCCAATCAGTTATCGGGGTTTACTCGAACAGAACCGAAATCCAAAGTAAAATTAATCAAAAACCAATCAGTTATTTAGCAAGAACCGAAACCGAATCGAACCGTTTTTTTCGGGTCGGGTCGGTTCGGGTCCGTCGGATCCGGGTCGGATGCCCAGGACTAAAGACACTAATAAAATCAGTTTACTATTTTGCTGACCCATTAAAAAGCCCAAAGTTTACAAAAAATGGAAGTCGAAAGCAAATGAGGAGAAGCTCAGACCACCACAGCTTGAAGATTCGCATTTCCGGTGGTTACCGAGAACAAAGTTTCTTGGGTTTGGCAGGAATAGAGATTTTTTAGTTTTGGTAGGAAAATGTGATTTTTCAGTTTTGGTAGGAACTAGGAATACATAATTTCTCTGTTATGGTGGAAAAGCCAATTCTCGGGGTTTAGCGGAAAAATGTGAATTTTTAGATTTGGTGAGAAAAAAAAATTTGATTTTGATGCGAAAACAATATATCTTAGTTTTGACGAGAAAATGCGAGGGAAATGCAACTTTTCAATTTTGACAAAAAATATGATTTCTCTGTTTTGATAGGAAATGCAAATTTTCGGCTTTTGATGGATAATGTGATTTTTGATTTTTGCGGGAAAATGTGATTTCTTAGTTTTCAGGGGAAATTGTCATTTGACAAATTTGGCGGAAAATGCAATTTCTCGGTTTGATGGGAAAACAAAATTTCTCGATTTTGGCGGGAATAAACAATTTCTCGGTTTTGGTGGGTAATGCAAATTTTCAGTTTTTGACATGTAATGCGTTTTTTTTTTTATTTTCGCAGGAGAATGCGATTTCTTAGTTTTTGTGGGAAATGCAATTTCTCAGAAGATAATGCAATTTTGGTTTTTGCGGGAAATTGTTGTTTATCGGTTCTGGTAGGAAGGCGTGATTCTTGGTTGGTGAGAAAAATATATTTTTTTTTGTTTTGGCGTGAATAGACGATTTCTCAGTTTTTGCGGGAAAATTATTTTTTCGGTTTTGAAAGAAAAATATGATTTTTTGGTTTTTGCAGGAAGATGAAATTTTTTGGTTTTGGTGAAAAAACTTGATTTCTCTGTTTTCGCGGGAAAACACAGGTTCTCGCGGGAAAATTTGATTTTTTGGTTTTTTCGGAAAAATACAATTTCTTTGTTTTGGTAGGAAAATAAAATTTCAGGTTTGACGAGAAAATAATTTTTTTTTGTTTTGGCGGGAATAAGCGATTTCTCAATTTCGTGGGAAAATGAAATTTTTTTGTTTTGTAGGAAAATGCAATGACTCAGTTTTTGTAAAAAGATAAGATTTCTATGTGCTAAATTTTCAAGTTACAATATGTTTATATTAACCAAAATTAAATTATTTAACTTCAACTAAATTGATATTTAAAAATTCAAACAGAACTTTATATTTAGTTATAAAGCAATAACAATGATTTTGATATATTGATTATAGTTTGGTAGTTTTAGAAACATATGTTTATAATAAATATTTGATAAATAAAAAAAAATTTATTTCAAAACAATTATATTAATTAAGATTAATAAAGATTAATTATTATAAGTATTTAAGGATTAAAACATAATAAATGAAATAAAAAACTTAAAATTAATGAAATTAGTTTGATGATGTATCACAATTTAAACATGGGAGATAATTGTTAGAGATGAGTTTCATACCATCTCTAAAAGCTCTACATCAATTGAGATAGACCCACTTCAAACCCTAAAAAATATTTAGGTCGACATGATAAATAGAAATCTTTCATTAATCCAACTAAATTCCAGAAAAGACGGGAGGTCGGCCTTATCAGGAAGAAAGTTTTATAATTTCAAAGAGAAATTCTGCTAAGGAAACCGACTTTACTGAAGTATAAATAAAGTAGTGATCCAGTTCTCTAGATCATCCGCAAATCATCTTTCGAGACTTAGGGCAAACTAGCTATTTTGTTGTTCTAAGCTCTTGAGTTTTCCTCTCATTAATATTTTAGCTCGGCATTTTTATTCCGACGATCTAAAACCACCGTGTATCTTTCGGGCTTTGGCTTGTTTCTAATAAAGGTCTCTCTTTAAACCCAAAAACTCTTGTTCTTTTTATTGATCGGATTTGAGTTATTACAATAATGAGGTGGCAGCATAAGAAGAGACTTCATTCTTTTTATATATATATACTAGGTTTGTAACTCGCGCTACGCGCGAGTCTGTATTAATAGTTTTGTTTAATTCTTCTTTTGCTACTATCTTTTAAATTATCAAAACTATAATAGATTTACAGAAATTTGATTTAAATAATAGAATTTAAAACATAATTAAAAATGTTTTCTCTTATTTTTAAATATAAATTTTTAAATCTTATTAAGTAAAATAGTAACAATGACACCTATCAAATTGTCTAACTTTGACATACACATAAATTTGATTTAGAGAAATATTTTTTTGCTAAGATCTTGATGTTTTGTTTTGTTTTCCATATGATTTATAGAGTTCTTTTCTCTTTAAGGTTAAAAATTTAAAATATTTAGTTTTTTAATTGAATGTCTCATTGATGTTGTGTTCCTCTGAATTTATAATTCATGATTCATATTGATTCGTATTTATTTTTGTTAGGAAGCTACAATGATCATGCAAAGCCGTTTATTGCTTATACTTCAGGTCTACCATGAATTTAACTTATATTTTTAGTCAGTTTATTATTTAAATATTCTTTTTTTGCAG